TTTCTTGAATTTTTCCATTGTGCTACCATTTTAACTCAGAAAAATGCTTTATCTATGATATAGAGACAAAAAATAAGTGCTAAAATGTTTCAAAATGCGGTATGTACGTATTATTGCAACCACCATGGCACAGTTTGGTGAAGTTTTTGTAAGAAAAAGAACAATTACTTGTATTGTAAGTATATATATATGCACATGTATGTTTTACTTTTCAACTATATATTTATTCCAAAAAACAATTGATAAACCTAATTATGATTGGATTCTTCTTTTTATTTTGGTGGAAATTTCATAGTTGTTGCTTTGAGGATCCGAAGCATTGTTCTTTAGCTAATTTTGTGGCAAAATACCGTATTCCTACAAAAATGTTGCCTTTATTCCTTTTATTGTAGGAAAAATTCAGCACCATGAATCTTGAAACTTAGTTTCTGATTAAAAAACAATGTAAACTTTTCTAAAAAAGCCACTGGAATTTTACAATACAACGAAAAGAAATGCATATAGAAATAATTATATTGGAAACTGAATATTTGTCATATGCATGGTTGCCTAAATATGTGCATAGTTACCAGAGCTTGGTGTATTCTGAAACTTTGGTGATTTCTACCGAAATAGTTACGATAATACATAAGTACCCAAAATGCTTATAGGTGAACTAGCAATCAAAATTTTTGTCTGAAATGGGTATCAGTAACCGTCCCCACATTTTTTAAAATTCTCTTCTGAATCTCGTTCCTATATATATTTCAGCTCGCTGAAAGTGGCTTTATATTTTGAAATAAATTCAAAAGACTCGTCAAACACTGTTTCAGTATATATGTTGGCAGAAATTGCAATTGAAATTTTCGATGAAATAGTGGAACAAATATGTACAGAAATATGTTCTTTTTTCCAAGATATTTTTATATGCATAATGTTTTAAGTAAGCTGTTGAATAATTTGAAGAATTTAGAACAAAAGTGCAGCTAAATTAAGGGGAATCTTTAAAATTGGAGTTAAATAATGCATTATCACTAAAAAATATATGTATCTATTCCATGCATATTTATGCTTATCATGTTATGTATGCCTTTTCAAGGAGGAATTATATATGTACACTGCGCCCCCCCCTCCAAAAACAAAAAAACAAAAATAAAAAAATAAAAAAAAATAACGGATAGTTCTGTTTCTCCCATTCTACTGGGCCAATTGACGAAATTCAAATTGGATTTTTCATGTCTCGAAAATGTGACTTAGGATATGTATTAAATACAGTCAAAAATCGTTAATTCGGACACCCATAATCCGGAATGATCTATAATCTGGACCTCAAAGCTACAAACTTTCTGCACAAACGTTGCTCAAAGCTACAAACATTGACGCATGCGCGTAAGACCTTTATGGCTGCGAATATGCTTGTGCAAAATACGTTCACGAATGAGCGTTTAATGTATAATGGATGGTATAAGCTAAGCTAAAATTATCTAATTCTGTTAATGTTGCAGATTGCGTTGTTCCTTAATCTTCGAATTGGATTCGGCTTATTATTTTTTGCAGACTGTTAGAGCAATTTTATAAAAGTAAGCTTGAACTTTCGATTATGTCAAATAGAATTTCTGATATATATTTACTAATATGTAAAGGATCTACAAAGCGAAAGTATGTTTCAAAGTCCATTAAACAAAAAGTGCAATTGCTGCAAAAAATGGATAAAGGCATATCCTTTGTTTATCTTTAAAGCCACGGCGCACAATGAATTGGAAGTTGATCTGTCAGCACTATCCTTATGTTCAGGGCAGATGTTTTTATTTTATTTGGCTTATAATTCCTTACTAAATGTAGTATTTCATCTCGATGTACTCCGTCTTTGATTTGATTTAAGTCAAATTCCTCGTCATTATAATTCGCTTCCGATAGCGAAGAAAGTGACAGAGGTTATTGAAAACGAAAAAAAATTTCGATTGACAAATTAGTCGGTATTCTCGACACAGCAATTATAGGACTTGAACAGCGGAACTTTGTAACTGAGCAAGAAATTATGTCTGTTTATAGAATTAAAGAGAATGTATTATCACATAAAAAACGAAGCAACTTAAACAAAACTTACATTGAAAAGAAATGGTTTAATAAAGTAAACAAATAAATATTAAGCTTTTTTTTTTGTAAATTTTGATAGCCTTTAGATCATAATTGTTCTTTATTTCATAAATTACGGTTTCATATTTTTAATTTTATAATTTCTGCATGCCATCTTACCAGATTTAAACTGCTGATCTATGATCCGGAAAAATCAATAATCCGGAATCACCGAAGTCCCGACGAGTCAGGATTAACGACTTTTGACTGTATATAGTATTATTCCAACATAGGTATGTTGACACAAAATCGGACTTTTTCTGAAATAACATATCAATTTTTTCCATGTTTCGATTCTATGACACAAATTATGCCTAGATATTAAATTTTGTAATTTTTGGTGAGAAATTTATGGAGAAATTAAAGAATTTTTCTTGCTGCATTTTTTTCAGTTTGCGCCAGGAATAATTCACTTGGCGGAATTCTTAAAATTCATAGTAACCTACTTACTTTCCTTTTTTTCTTTCATTGATGCATAAGAGGAAAAAAGGTCCATCATTCATTCTTTCAAATAATTTTAACAAAGTTATTATTACTTTTATTAAATACCTCAAATTTCAAAATGCACCAATATGTAAATTCACGTATATTTTAGGAAATTTTGAATTTAAAAAAACTTAATTTTTTTCAGATATACTTAAAAATACATCTCTACTTTAAGATGATGTTGAACATTTTATAGGTTATAATACAAAAAAAATTTTAAAAAAATTTATAAAAACAATTAAAAAAATAATAATTTTAAAAATTAATATAAAAAATGTGCGAATTGTATTTCGATTAAGGCTTAATTTTGAATTCTAGAAGACGGAATCAAGTAAATTTAGTAAAAAGAGAGATATAAATAAATATATATCAAATTCAATTAACACTGAGGAGCTAAAATTTTGAGAGCGTATTTTTAAAAAAACTGCTCGTGTGATTTTTTTTACAAAACTTGGCAGTTTGGCATAATTTGAGTCTTAGAATCGAAATATGGAAAAAAATTAGCATGTCATTTCAGGAAAACTCCGATTTTTGTGTCAAAAAAACCTATATCAAAACAATGCTATATATAAATCTAATACATATCCCTAGTCGTGCTTTTGACTCATGAAAAATGCAAATTGAATTTCGTCAATCAGCCCAGGAGAACGGGAGATACAGAACTGTTCCATTTTTTTTCCTTGCACGGTGTACATATAATATAATAAATAACAGAAGAAATTGCAAAATGCTTATAGTGTAATAGGCCCACCAGCGGCTGAGCGGTAAAGTCGCTGAACACTGGTAGTTCGGTCCGAGGTTCGAATCCCACAAATACTTTCTCTTTAATTCTATAAACAGACATAATTTCTTGCTCAGATACAAAGTTCCGCTGTTCAAGTCCTGTAATTGCTGTGCCGAGAATACCGACTAACTTGTCAATCGAAATTTTTTCGTTTTCACTAACTCTGTTCATTTCTTCATGCTTTATCCATTTTTTGCAGCAATTCCACTTTTTGTTTGATGGACATCGAAACATGCTTTCGCTTTGTAGATCCTTTGGCAACTCCAGAATCGGAAACTCTTTTTGACATAATCGAAAGTTCAAGCTTACTTTGTATAAAATTGCTCTAACAGTCTGCAAAAAATAATAAGCCGGATCTAATTAGAAGATTAAGGAAAAACTCAATCTGCAACATTAACTGAAATAGATAATTTTAGCCTAGCTTATACCGCCGTTATACATTAAACGTGCATGCGTAAAGGTATTATAAGTTAAAAGTAATGTGATTTAATACCAGTTTTTACTTCATAGAGGTCAGTAGCTGAATGACCTTTAGGGAAAAAGTAGTATGGGCTTTAGTTGAAATTTCACAACTGAGTGTGTAGATTTTTGATTTTAGCAGCAACTAGTGTAAAAAACGTTGGCCAGTTTTGCTGAATTTTAAGTTACAAATTAGTATGTTTCTCTTCCTGATATTAATTACTATTTTACTATCCAGTGTCAATAACAGTAAATCCAAAATTTGTAGTTTTGGCTTGCATCAAACATAAAATTGATATATTGAAAATTTAAACAAAATTTGAACTTTATTCTACAGGCTTATTAAAAAGAATGGAATTGATTTTAAGCATTTTTATAAGAAAAGTATTTATGGTTGTTTAATAACTTTTATTGTAACATAAACATGAATGTTTAAATATTTTGTCATATAATTATTAAAATCCATCCTAAATAAAATTCAATATAATTAGTAAAATTCAATTTAATTAGTAAAATTGAATTGATTGTCCTGTTAGTTTCAAAGCAGTATTCAAAGCATATATGTCGGATCATATGTGATGTGATTTTAGCTATGGCAACAAGTTTGCAAGAGAGCTGCATTGCATAAAATCTGCTGAAAAGTTGCATTGAATAGTTATAAAAAGATTTAAATTCTGCTTCTCATAATATGCATTATACAATTTGCTGCACAGTCACCATCTTCATGTGAACTGGCTGGTTATTGCATTTTTACTAGTCAGCAAAGATTTTGTGTATGTCAAGGTCGCATCCCGACATTCAAAACGTGGACATTTTCCAATTATTTTGATATAAAAACTAAGACTGATTTATGATAAAGCAGCCCACGAATGCAGCAGAATTTATATGCAGCCCACGAAGTTGTTAGGCTTAAAGCTCTTGATACCCTGTTTGTCTTAATTCACTCCAATTCTAGCTGGCCTGTAGTGATAATTAGTAAGAATATTTTATGTTAAAGCTAATAAGAGTGTTTTTTGAAATGATTAATTAAATCATGTTGGATGCTTTTACAATGATTCATTAAATTATTGTTGGCTCATGTAGTTTATGTTTACTGGGGTTTAGATCTGAAAAACAATATTTCTTTGAAGATATAAATTTCTGTGTTTATCTTCAGATTAAATATGCTGGATCAGAACTACATTTGAATGAAGTGCTTGAGACTGTGTGCAACACATTAGAGGATTATGCTCAAGCTAAGCATAAAGAAACTGGAGAGAAAGTTTTGCTGAACCTGTCTAAAGATGTAGAAAAGCTCAGCTCACATGAGTTGGTGCCAGATCCTGATCTGAATCGAAGTCTCAAATATTATGTAAGTTACATTTTCGGTGAAACTAGGACTTCATATTTTTTATTAGATTAAACTTTTTTTTTAATTAAAGTTAAGTGAATGTTACCTATACTTGAAGATTTTTATGTATTTGTCTATGTTTTACAGTTAAAGAAATAAATTATTGGTTTATGATAAAAAAGTATAGTTAGGAAATGTTTTTATGCAATTTAAGGTCTTCGTATATACAAAAATTCTTTTTTTTTTCGTGTATTAGTACGTTTGGGGTAGAACTTGTAATAACTTTTTTCTTAAGGCTACTCGATCAAAAAATTTTGGAGATCGCTGGTGTAAGAAAGGAGCACGTGTTGCTAAGTTGTGATATGTGTTAAATTTGGTAGAAAACTGTCTAATTAGCATTTCTTTATTGTACTTTTTTTTAAAAGACAGCAAAAGGCTAATTTTATGATCTATGAAATTTCAAGGCATTATGACATATAGGTTTTTTTTAACGTTAGAAACATGTAATAGTTGGAAAAATCAATTAGTTTTTGGAAAATTGTCTGAAATTAGCTCATTATGCTTAATATTTAGAATAAACTTCACTTGGAAGAATAATTTTCAAATTTATGCAATGACACAATGACTAAAATTCTGAAACTGTTAGTTTGATTCGTAAGCAAGGATATACTGGATTGATAAGAAAGTTATTTTTTGAGAAAAGTTACTTCAACATTAAATTAAAAAAATTAAATCAAAATTTGAAAAACTCACTAGTAGCATACCTCTTCTTGGAATAATCTGTGTTAAATTTTGAAGCTATAAGGTTTTCCTTCTTTGTATTGTGTGATACATATACACTTTTACTGTTATAAATTCATTTTAATTTAATTATATTAGGTTGCAGGCTGCATACACATTATATTGGGTTGCAGGCTGCATACACATAGAACTTTGGGTTAAGTGAAGATTAAATGACATTTAACATGGAACATTTTATTAGGTAATAAATCAGATAACATTTGCTTTTATGTTAAGCATAACAGAAGGAGTGCTTTTAATAGGTGAAAATAGAACAACATACACTGATGAGCCAAAACATTATGACCGTTCCCACACTTTTCAGTAAACTTGTCTAGATGACATGAAGGTCACGGGATTAAATGGGAATGGTATTTAACTGCTGGCTGGAGAAGCTAAGGAATCATTTTTGCACTTTTGCAGGTGATGAAAAAAGCTGCTGATCTAAGTGAATGTGATAGAGGGCAGATTAATGGCCTAAAGAGTTAGAATGAGCATCTTCAAAACTGCATGACTGGTATATTGCTTATAATCTGCCATTGTTAGTGTGTATGCAAAGTGGATAATGATAATGAAACCAGCAGTAGACAGCAAGGTGTTGGATGTCCACGTGCCATAAAAAAAGGATGTCAGAGACTTGGTACAGAAAAATCAGCACCAGACAGTGGGTCAGCTGATAGCTCTGTTGAGTGCAGGTCCAAGTTTGAAATTCACAATTCAGTGGACAGTGTTGGATATGGGACTGTGCAGCAGATGTCCCACTCATGTGCCTCTGTTGACCAAGCATCATTATCAACTATGCCTATAGTGTGTTCGTAAACACCGAGATTGGACCATGCATAAGTGGAAGACAGTTACCTGGTCGGATGAATCACATCGATGGTTGTATCAGGGTACTTCATCATCCAGATGAACAGTTGCTTCCTCTCTGTACAGCAGGTCATACACAGGTTGTTGTTGGTGGTATTATGTTTTGGGGGAAGTTCTCATAGGTGACTCTGGGACCCTTAGTTTTGGTAGAACAGACCATGAAAGCTGCGGACTATCTGAACGTAATTGCAGATCAAAGTCTTTAGTCCGGACTCGTCGGGACTTCGGTGATTCTGGATTAGGGTTTTTTCCAGATTATAGGTCATCAATTTAAATCTGGTAAGATGGCATGCAGAAATTATAAAATTAAAAATATGAAACCGTAATCTAAAGGGTATCAAAATTTACAAAAAAAGCTTAATATTTATTTTTTTACTTTATTAAACATTTCTTTCAAGGCACGCATGCATAAAGCATACATTACGCATAGTCGAAATTTGAAAATTGCAACCAGAAAACTATTGGATGTGTATTCGTGATATTTATAATGACAAGGAATTTGATTTAAATCATATCAAAGACTGAATACATCGAGATGAAATACTACATTCAGTAAGCAATTATAAGCCGAATAAAATAAAAACATCTGCCCTGAAGATGAGGATAGTGCTGACAGATCAACTTTCAGTTCATTGCGTGCCGCGACGCCCCCTCCCCGCAGAGCAGCGTGAAATTGATAAACAGATTTCGGAATGGTTAGAGAAACAAAGGATATGCCTTTATTAATTTTTTGCAGCAATTCCACTTTTTTGTTTGATGGAAATCGAAACATGCTTTCGCTTTGTAGATCCTTTGGCAGCTCCGGAATCGGAAACTCTTTTTGACATAATCGGAAGTTCAGGCTTACTTTTTTATAAAATTGCTCTAACAGTCTGCAAAAAAATAATAAGCTGGATCCAATTAGAAGATTAAGGAACAACGCAATCTGCAACATTAAGTGAAATAGATAATTAGATAATTTTAGCCAAGCTTATACCGTCCGTTATACATTAAACGCGCATGCGTCGCAAAAAGTTTGTAGCTTTGAGGTCCGGATTATAAATCATTCCGGATTAAAGACCTTTGTACGGTATACCCTTACATGGCGTTTGTCTTCCCAACTGGAAATGGAATCTTTTAGCTGAACAACACCCCATGTCACAAGACTTGAATTTTATTGGAATGGTTCGAGGAGAATAAGGATGAACTCCAATTAGTGGGATAGCATAGTTGATGATGACGCTTGGTCAACAGAGGCACATGAGTGGGACGTCTGCTGTGCATGACAACAGTGTCCACTGAATTGTGAATTTTAATGTTGTCTTGGTCAACTAACTCACTGCATCTTAATCCTATAGAGCACATTTGTGATTCCATGGAGCAGCAGCTCAGAGCTCAACCATCACCTTGTACTGTCTCGACTTTGCATGACAGCTGCTTAGGCATTTGGTATAACTTGTCTCCAGTCATCTATTAAGAACTTTTGGCTTCTATGCCAAGGGGAGTTGCAGCTGTTTTCTGGCTAAAGGTGAGTCTCGACTTTGCATGACCGCTGCTTAGACATTTGGTGTAACCTACCTCCAGTCATCTATCAAGAACTTGAGGCATCCATGGCAAGATGAGTTGCAGCTGTTTATACAACTCATTATTGAGCAGGTAATCGTAATGTGTCGCTTCTTCAGCATGTGTACATATGTAACCATGTTGACTTCACAGCATCGTGAGAAACAGGTCCACAAAGAATAGCTAGGTAGATGAATTTACTTATAGCTTTTGTAAACTGTTGCTTGGGATCCATAAAGACAGCATTAAGTTCATTTGATACATGGACACCGATGGCCATTCTAGACAATTTCTCATAGCTGATGACTCTTTCGGTTTTTCATCACATCACCCTGTATACCACTGGATCTCCTTATATTTAATTTTTAGCTTTTACTAAGACAAAAACTTTCCCAGCAATAAATGAAATTTATTGAATTAATGAAACTTAAATTATACTGATTCTCTAGTGGTTTTCCAACCATTATCTATCCTAGTGATTTCCATCCCTAGTAATTTTTGTAAAAATTGCTTAACTATTTAATTTGTTCAAATTTGGGATTTTCTTCAATTGGTTGTGTTTACTATTTTTCATGAACTACTTTTACTTTGTCCTCTAAGTAAGTTTTTATTCATGTTCTTGGTTCATTTTTTTAAAATTCAGTGAAAATTTCTAATTTTATTCTTTTACTTAATGAATTTACTTTGTGTCAAGGACTTCAAAATTTTCAGATGAACTGTAATTAATTAAAAACTTTAGTTCATCAGCTAATTTTAAATACAGAAACGCTAGAGTTTTCAATAAAAGGGGTAATGTAATTGAGTCTGATGTATCCTCCTGTTGATAATATTAAATCGCATTTGAGTTCCTCTTCTTTATTTATTGTTCTGTTTCTGGTATATATTTTCAGGTTTTTATATTACAGTACAAAGTCCAAGACCTGGATGTCCAATATCCGCAATGATCTAAAATCCAGACCTCAAAGAGACAAACAACTCTTTTTTTTTTTTTTCGGTTGTGTGTGTATGCTTTACTCATGCACATTTGATTTTTTCCTCCCATAATAAAACATGTGGAGAGTCCTCATTCTTACTTTCACTCAGGCACTGAATAAAATACTTCATTTTTGAAGAAACCATCATTTTAGCATAAATTTGCGAGATAAATAATTTAGCTTCGTAGCTGCGTATCTGCATGGCATACATTTCAAACCCAAAACATTCTACATAGGGACATCTTTGATTTTACACCTACTAGTATTTTATATCCCTGATACCAACTTGGCAAATCATTATTTTATTATATTTTGCTTTCATCACTACATGTTTATCAACACGACAACTTGGATAATGGCTCATGCAGCGATGTTTAAACATTTTTTGTATTAGTAATTGAATAACAGAGTATGGCAACCTTTGATGCTGACAATTACGCTTGGCGATGATTAGATTTAACTTAAATGCACTAAGAAATGTTGATGGGAAAAAATTTAACAAAAATTTCTTTTCATATGCTAAAAAGAGATTTTGTTAATGAAACTCATAGACCAAAAGATTACATTTAGTGCTATTTGAGTTAAGAATAACTGATATGTTATTCACGTAAACTCAGAAGTGTCAGAGCTCATATGGCCACACCGGGTGACAAAATTTAGGGAAGACAAAATTTTTGAAATTTAGAGAAGCACCGAGCAGCAAAATTAAGGGATGACAAAGTTTTTATAATTTAGGGAAAATGCTTGTATCCAAAGTTTTAGGCAAAAATTTAGAACTAAGTAAGGCATTTTGAAGCAGAATTTAGGATCCACAAAGACTGCATCAATCGATATTTAGCGCAGGTGCTTGATAAG